CTACGCTCTTCCTGTTTATGTTTCTATGCCTCTGAAGGACGGCAGAACAGCTTTGATCACGTGGGTCATTGCAAGCCTGCATGCGTTGCTTTGCAACAGAAGTCAGCATCCCCTCTTGACCACCCCCAGCGCCCCCCAAATTCGGATTGTTTTATGCAAGAAAACATTCGGTGCGAGCCTTACATGCAGGTGGCTCCGGTTCCCTCCTACCCAGGCATAAAAACCGACTTGGAATATTCTAATCGAGACGCTGAGGTTCGTTAACCTCGCCTTAACTCTCTCAATTATTGTATTTTATTGCGCCACTTTTTGATTTAGGACGCCGCTTCGTTTTAATGCAAAATCCGGATTCGGATTATTAGACCTTCTCGGAGCAGGAGACAGAAACGTCCACTAGGGGCGCAAGGGAACCGACGTGCCGAGGCGCGCTCGCTTTCTCTCCTTGCGCATGCGCCCTCCCATCCCGCGAAGGGGCGTGGCCTCGGCGCCTCCTCTCCCACTCTCTGGGCCTTTCTCCCCGCCCGCCGCCTATGGCGCCCCGGAAGCGGAAGCGCGCGTCACACACACCCCCCTCACGCAGGAAGGGAGCGCTTCCGGGTGCTGCTGGCTGAGGGGAAGCGGCGGCGCTGGCGGCGGCCGGGGGGAAAGCTGCACTCGGGCCAGGGCCGAGCTCCCTCCGGCGGGCCCGCCATGTGAGGAGACCCCGACGCCCCTCAGGTGAGGCGGGCGCTGCCAGACGCCTCCCGGCGGCTTTTCGGCTCGGGCGCTGCGGGCTGGGTCCGGTCCCCGGAATGGCCTCTGGGGGCCCCTTTTCTCCCCGGCTTCTTCCTATCCAGGCGCCCGAAGCCCCGTCCGGGTAGGCGAGCCTGGGCACTGGGTGGGGTGTGGAGCCCGGGTCCCCTCCCGGGAGGCACGTTTTATTTTATTTATTCAAGCTTTATAAGTAACTCAAGGCAGCTAATAACAGTTGGTACTCCTTCCTCCTGCTCTTTGCCCCCCCCCACAACAACAACAACAACAACGACCCTGTGAGGTGGGCTGGGCTGAGAGGGAGGGACTGGCCCAAAGTCACCCAGATGGCTTCCATGCCTAAGGCGGGACTAGAACTCATGGTCTCCTTGTGATTGGCCCAAAGTCACTTAGATGGCTTCCATGCCTGAGGCAGGACTAGAACTCATGGTCTCCTTGTGATTGGCCCAAAGTCACCTAGATGGCTTCCATGCCTGAGGCAGGACTAGAACTCCCAGCCTCCTGGTGATTGGCACAAAGTCACCCAGTCAGCTTTAGTGTCTGAAGCAGAACTAGAACTCACAATCACCCACTTTCTAGTCTGGTGGCATTCATTAGTTTGCAGCTCTGCCCTCTTCTCTGGGTCTCCAAGTGACCTATTTTAGGACCTCCTCTTCCATCCAGAGCTAGAAACCAAGAGATCGTGAGTTCTAGTCTGTTGGGAGCCATTTTAACGTTCCAACCTTTATTTTATCTCATCCTTTTATATATATAAAAGGCAAGATGGTGAATGTACCTCATACCAGCCTCTCTTGACAGTGAGATGAGTGACCTGTAAATTAAAAAAAATACTCCTGGCTCCTGTTTTCCCCATAGAAATAATCCTGCTTGATGGATAATACCTGTAACGCCCTGGTTAGGAAGGCAGGCATATGGATGCCAGCTCATCTGGCAAATGCCCAGTTGAAGAGGGTTTTCTTAAGCGCCGCGTCCCTGCTATACTTTCCTTACTCGGATTCTGTCATTGTTTTATTTTTATTTCCTATTGTGAGTCTCTTGTTGAGATGGGCAGCTAATAAAGTGTGGGATATTTGTTTAGCAAAACCTTTCTGTACTGTATGGTGTCCTTTCCATTGTGTCCTACTTGGAGGGGTTTGGAAATTGTTACTTTGGCAACAGTTTGGAACTCGCTGCTCAAAAAAGACTGGGTGCGTAATGGGTGATGGGGTGATGCTCCTCTGAAGGCGGAAGCAATGGGGAATAAATAGGAAAAAATGCCACAGTTGATGATAGTATGGAATAGAAATGGGATAAAGGTGAAAATGAAAATCTCTGAGTTAAAGCCTGTCCCAGCCAAATTAAAAATTATTTTGAAAGGCGGGTAGCAAATATGCAATTAATTAAAGAGCTCCCATTGCTCCTGGCCTTACAGGAAATCTACTGAGATTTCTTTTGTGCTAAATCTGTAAGTGCAACTTATTCTGCTCCCTGTTAAAACTTTTAGCTTACAATTTCAGTTTGTGAAATTTTATTTTGTAAGATGTGATGAGCATTCGACTAACAGACATCTTTGAATGGAAGCCTGCTAGTTATTTTCCCACAAAGGCTGCATTCCTCACTTTTACAACAGTTTGTAGTACTCGTTTTTCCAGTATATGGTTAGTCTGTGCCACTGACTCTGTTGGATAGCTTCCTTGTGCTTTTTAATAATGGGCAGGTGGTCCTTGACTTACAACCACAATCGAGCACAACGTTTCTGCTGTTAAGTGAAGCGTTTGTTGGGTGAGTTTTGCCCTATTTTACAACCTTTGTTGCCACAGTAGTTGCTAAGATAGTAACCCAGTTGTTCAGTGAATCTGGCTTCCCCGTTGACTTTGCTTCTCAGAAAGTTGCAAAAGAGGATCACCTCACCCCAGGACATTGCAGCCGTCGTAAACACGAGTCAGTTGCCCAGCGGAGATGGTGCAATGGTCGTACGTGTGAAAAATGCTCATAAGTCGTTTTTTTCAGTGCTGTTGTAACTTCGAAGAGTAACTAAATGAACTGTTACAAGTCGACCCTTATGGAGAGCAATTCAGTGACTCTGTGTTGACGTTTTTCTGTAAGAAAGTTTCAATTTTTTTTAAGTTTATCAATATGATTAAACTTAAAAAGTACATTGAATCTTACTCACATAAAAACATCAACACAGAACATGGATAATCATGGATAAGCCACCTGGATTAATAGTGCCGGCCTCCTTTTTGTGTCTTAGCCATTTTCCAAGGGCGAAAATAACGTGTGCACATAATAGCTTAAAAGGACTACCTTCAGATAATCCACCACCCTTCTCCTTTGTCATGTGGAAGTGATTCTTTTACGTGACGACTCGCAAATACCATTTTGAGGTTTGGTTTATGGCATCTGCCTGTGTTGGCGTGTGTGCACGGGATAGGTTCTGTTTTATAGGCACTTCTTCAGAAATGGTATTTACTGACTTGTAAAATATGTGCAAATTTAAATAAAAACAAGGTACATGCGTCCAAGGTTGCTTTATCTACTGTGAACCTTGATTTGCTCATACAGTCTCTGCAAAGCCGAAACGCCCTGTTATGAAACCCTTCCTCCACTCTAAAGTTATAATGGGGTTTGGTTGTTGTTGTTTTTTGCATACCTGTCCTTATTCTGTAATCTTTCCACCTTGCTGCTTTTTAGATATATTAAGATTCTGGGGAATTGCAGCGAAAGACAGCTGGAGGCCTCCCCTTGGAGAGGCTGCTAATAAATGCTTTGTTAAAAAGTGAGGTGGCCAGAATGAAAAATGAGATCATCTTTTTTTAAAAAAAAATCTCATGATTCAGATAGATGAGGCTGCACCCAACATTGAAAGCTGAGAGAAAGATTTAAATTCCATCCCAATTCGTAAGTTTGCTATCACTGATTATCAACAGCACGAGCCAAGTCGTATCTCCAGTGGCTCAGCAGAGGAAATTATTGTCAATTTTTATTTATTTTCTCTGGCACATTTTATTGTATTTTTTTTTTTTAAGGGATTGCCTTTGTGTGAAAGGAAGCACCCTTGTTAGTGTTCGGGAACGGTTTGGGGAAAAAACTGTTCTTACCTGCAGCACAACTTTTGACATACGTTGTACTTCTGTCAAATAAGATGGTTCAAATCGTTGAGAAATTTTGTTTTGGAGCCTCAAGAAGGAAGGAAGTTGCAAGAATCCTTGCCTCTTAATGTTGCATGACCTGCTAGTATACATCAACAGTACTTGGGGTCAGCTGCCCATACAGTCTTCTTTCAGACAATGTACTTCCATTCCATGCTGGATTGATGGCAGATTCCATCCCTCGTTCTCTGTTCTCTATCTATCCATCTTTCTTTCTTTTTTGGCCATTCATAATGTATTCCCACTGAGTTCTTTATCATCCTTTATTTTATTGTTCTGTTATAGTCTGTTCTGAGCAACAGGGTGGCCCAGAAGCAAAGATGCTAGCCTCACACTCAGGAAGTTGAGAGTTCAATCCTAGGTAGTGACAGATGTTTATCAAGAGAAAATATCTGTTGCAAACTCCACATAGCATCAGGAAGGGCATCCGGCCGGTAAACGCTCAGCTCCATTCAGTCGCCCCGACACCAGCCTGATGATAGAGATTGCAGGGTCGTAAAAAGAAAAAAATATATATCTTCTGTTTATACTCCTTTCATTACTTCCTTTTTATTTTTATAAACCACCTAGAGTAGCCCCAGGGCAAATAAATTTAACAAATCAGTTCCTCTACTTTTTGCATTCTTAGTGCGGCCAGCACAACTTCTAATGGGTTTCATTTCCAGTATTTGAAGAAGAGACTCAATGTGCTAATCTGAGGACGGGTGAGGAGTTCTGGGTCCCGCGGGAAAACTCACGCCCATGTTCTCTCTATCGGAGAGGGCGGCATCAAATCGTAGCTCCTCACTGAGCGACTCGGTGTCAAGGGAATTAATCCCATCCCACTTCACACAGTTCCAAATGTGCCATGTCTCATAGATGTAATTTGCTCTTTCGAATCCTGGGGTAAACTCGGTGGCTTGCCACCTCTTGTATTTTTATGCTCATCAACTTGCAGATCGTATGCAGCGCAAAGTTAAAAAAATCGCATCCCTGGCAACAAAGGGCTGGTGGGTGGGTTGTGTGTGTGTGTGTGTGGTTTTTTTTTTAATCCCTCTCCAAGCAGCCTCGTGCATTTTAAACTGATTCGTGAACGCTCCTTTTGTGTCCTTTTCCAGGTTACATTTCGGGCCAGGCGACATGGACAGCAGCAGCTTCATCCAGTTTGACGTCCCTGAATACAGCAGCAGCGTCCTGAGCCAGCTGAATGAGCTCCGCCTGCAGGGCAAGCTTTGCGACATCATTGTGCACATCCAGGGCCAGCCGTTCCGCGCTCACAAAGCTGTTTTAGCCGCCAGCTCTCCCTACTTCCGCGACCATTCGGCGTTAAACACCATGAGTGGCCTGTCCATCTCCGTCATCAAAAACCCCAGCGTCTTCGAGCAGCTGCTTTCCTTTTGCTACACTGGACAGATGTCTCTGCAGCTGAAGGACGTGGTCAGCTTTCTGACGGCCGCCAGCTTCCTCCAGATGCAGTGCGTCATCGACAAATGCACCCAGATCCTCGAAAGCATCCATTCGAAAATCAGCGTCGGGGAAGTCGACTCGGTCACGATCGGGGCCGAAGATCCTCTGGAGAACCACAACGGCCTGAAGGAGAGTAGCTATTTTGCCAACCCCGTGGAGATTTCTCCTCCCTACTGCCCGCAGGGGCGTCCGCCGGCTTCAGGGAACGACCTCCGGATGGAAACGGCGCCGACCGGCGCTCTCCGCGGCCGCCTGCAAGAAGAAGGCCACTCGGACCGGGGGAGCAGCGGGAGCGTTTCGGAGTACGAGATTCAAGTCGAAGGGGATCACGACCCGGTGGAGCTGATCGTTCGAGAGAGCCAGACGGCCGAGGTGAAAGTCAAAATGGAAAAATCCGACCGGCCGAGCTGCTCAGACAGCTCTTCGCTTGGCGACGACGGCTACCACACGGAAATGGTCGACGGAGAACAAGTGGTGGCAGTGAACGTCGGGTCCTACGGCTCCGTCTTGCAAAACGCTTTCTCGTACTCCCAGGGATCCTCGCAGCCTGCTCCCGTCTCCGAATCCTTCGGAAGCCTCAGGAGCTCGGGCAGGTCCATGCTCGGCTCCTACCGAGGCCGCGGGCGACAGAAGCGGGTCTCCGCCAGCCACTTGCACAGCGACGTTTCCGGCCTCGTGTCGGGAGCCGACGGCGAGCCCTCAGCCCACCCGCCGGGCTACGAGAGCGGCCCCCGGGAGAGGAATTCCCGAGGCCACTGGTACGCCTACAGCGAGCGGCTGATCTGCATCTACTGCGGGAAGTCTTTCAACCAGAAGGGCAGCCTCGACCGGCACATGAGGCTTCACATGGGCATCACCCCCTTCGTGTGCAAGTATTGCGGGAAGAAATACACCCGCAAGGATCAGCTCGAGTACCACATCCGCGGCCACACCGACGACAAGCCCTTCCGTTGCGAAGTCTGCGGGAAGTGCTTTCCTTTCCAAGGGACCCTGAACCAGCACTTGCGGAAGAACCATCCGGGCGTGGCCGAAATCCGTAGCCGGGTGGAGTCGCCCGACCGAACAGAAGTCTATATGGAACAGAGAGACGACGAGGCGTCCGCCACCGAGACTCTGGATTATACCATGGATGTGCACACCCCCGATTAAAACAAAGAACGAAAAAAAAAAATGATGCTGTTTCTCCAGGCAACTCGAAGCAAGCACACGGATCAATGCATTTCCTTCTTTCTTTGATCAGTTTCACGAGAGTTATCCTTATTATTGCGATATATTTTTTTTTCTCCCCTCTCCTAAATTTTAGCCGTTCTCGCGGGCGTGGTTCCGGAATAAAAAGGCTGCTGTTTTGTTCGCGAAGAGGCAGGGTGAGCTTTACTCCTAATTAAACCGTCTAGGGCAGGGGTAGGCAACCTCGGCTCTTTTATGACTCATGGACTTCAACTCCCAGAATTCCTGAGTCAGCTATGCTGACTCAGGAATTCTGGGAGTTGAAGTCCATGAGTCATAAAAGAGCCGAGGTTGCCTACCCCTGCCCTAGGGGAATTAGGTGCTTGTTGATGGTGGGCCGAGCCTCGCTAGCTAAAGATGTGATGACAACCTGGATAGTGCCGGCCGATACACCGGCCGACACCTCCTGTTGTGTTTTGGGCAGCCCAGGAGCAGGCAGGCCTCCTTGGTTGTGAGTCTTGTTGTGTTCTATAGGACTTGTTTCACTTTGATCAAGGCGGGCAGAGCTCGAAAGCTACAAAAAGCCTCAATATGCCTCTCAAGTCTGCTCGTTTTGTTGTGTCATATGACAACCTGGGTTCAAGAAGTGTTTTTGTTTCTTTTCTTTGAGGAATAACTATTTCGAAAGCTTTGAATTTTATATAATATATATATATATAAACACTTATAAAAGGTTCATTTTTTTCCCTCTTCGGGTTGGTGGAGGAGTGAACGTAGAATAACTTAAATATTTGTTTTTGTTTTGTTTTTTTTTAAAAAAAACCTGCTGATAAGGTTTTAAAACTTGGTTTAAGTCCCCTAGCCTTAATTTTGTTCAAGAAACATTATTCTTGGTTTGTTGGTTGGTTTGTTTTTTCCCTTCGTGCAAATATGTCCAGAATCAAGCAAAGTATCACTTTTTATTACAACTTTGCTCCATAGCGGATGTAAACCAAATTGCCATAAATGTATTAATTTGAAGTGGAGATTGTTTGGGGCTTTCCCCCCCCCTCCCCTTTGGTCTAGAATCCAAACTGGACAACATTGGTGCTTGACTCCCTTTTTTTATAGGAAAAATGTTATATTAGCCAACGCAGGACATAGGATTGTGGTTTTAAATCTTTTTTACTCTCCTCAGAATCTACCTTCATTTCGCACTGTAAAAGCAGACCGGGTAAATCACGTGTTACATTAATCACTCTGGATAGTTGCAGTCAGCTTAACAGTGTAGTAAAAAGGATGTTGTATCTGCATCTACAATATTTCAGCGCAGTATTTGTAATGTTACCTCTTGAGGTACATCTTATCTTCATACTTAAATGTTTTCAAATGAAACAGTTGATTTTTTTTTTACTTTTTTTTGTAATGATGTTATATGGGAAATGATGATCAATATGTCCTATTGTATTAGAGATGCTATTTTTAGCTTCTCCATAACTTCAGTGGCTAATCAGTATTTTTCACAGAGAGCCAATAACAAAGAGCCTGTTTTCTCTGCTTTCAGATGTTTGATAAGTTTTAAAAGTGGTGCTAACTTTTCTTTTCCCCTTAGTACAGCGTAGAAAATGTGAACTTTAACTGGTAGTAAGACTTTTTTTTTTTTTAATCTTTCCACTTAGATTTTGCTTTCCTGAAACAGACCTCAAAGAGTATAAGCTGGCAAACTTTACTGTATTAAAAAATTCTACACCGCAGGGAAAATAACGGAGTCTGCTCAGTCGTTTTAAAGCGTGTTACTTTAAGGTTTGGTGGAACGAGAAGCGTTTTGACCAGGGTCTTCACTGATACAGGAAACCCTGTGTCAGAAATTGCTTTTCTTGCTTGTGTTTATTAGTGGCTGTTTATGATATGTAGGTGAAGACAGCAGGGCTTCTTAACTAGGTTGAGCAGAACAAAAAAATGACGTTAAGATATTAAGGACAAGCCTAGGCAGAGGTGGAAAAGTAAGCTATTAAACCATTGGTTGGTGCTTGGTTTGAAGAGTGCTCAGGACTCCAGGTTTCTCTCTTTATGTGCCTGTAACCCATGGCAGCACGGCCATGCTATTCCTAGTTAACGAAATTAAGAACCAAAATATGCTTCTTGAAGAGGGGGGGGCACAGGCAGATGTCCTGCATCTGCCCCGCTCTGCCAGACCTTGAGAATGCGCGACCACTTTGCCGGTGTTCAGGATTTGTATATCATAGTTTATACTGACATTTCAGTCCGAGCCTCGGCTTTTAATTCCAGTCTGATTCTCTCTACTGTGAATTTTTTTTTTCTTTTCCCAAGGGGTGGCTTTTCTTGGTGAGGGTTCGTAATCCGCCCTCGTCCTTGCCTGAGGAGCGATGTGAATGTCGGGTGGATTCCGAAGGTTGTAAAACACTGAAAGCAGCGCAGCTGTGGTGATGCCGAGGAAAGCTTAAGATAGCACGGCAGGTCGTGAAAAACAGAATTTTTTTTAGACTTTAAGGAAAGCGGAGAAGAGATCTTGGCAGAGTTAGAGGGAAAGGTTTCCTTGCAGCCGTGTAACGAAAATCTGCAGTATATCGGTGTCTACTCCGTGAGTGGAGTTAAACTAGGAGATATATATATATATATATAATCAGCCTCTTCCTCTTCAACCTCTCTTAGAAATTCTTTCTTCTGTCATCATCTCAAACCAGCCCTTTTATTTCCTTTTTTCCCCTTGGCCAAGAAACGCAGATGACCACCGGATTACTGGTTTCTGGCAAGGTGGAATTGGCAATATGCCCACAATGGGCATCAGGAAAAAAAAGAAAAGACATTTTCACGCTTCCCTAGGGCTTCTTTGGATCCCAGGCTTCAGTGAGGGCATATGCATCCATTCATGTATCCTCTTGATGCTCGTTTAAAACCTGAGCCAACTTTTCAGCCTTTTCGCCCAAGGAACGACGCCGTTTTGATCGCTTTGCCAAGGTTTCCTCAACAAAAGTCCAGCTGCGCAAGTTACTCCTTGCCCAAGTTACTCCACCTCGGCTGTGGTGCCTTTTAAGCCGGTTGGCTTTACTCCCTAGTAGTTAGGATGAAGGAGAAAAAAAAGAGAAGAACAATTAGCTTTCCGTTCTGCACGTAGCCCTCTTCTCAATCTTTCCAAGGCATAAAATACTGTTTGTTTGTTTGTTTGTTTTTAAGCTGTAAACGTGAGCTGGTTTGAGTTTACCAAAGAGTGATGTACCCAAAATGCTACCTTTCTTTTTTAATTATGCAGATTTCATAATCGGAGCATAGTTAGTGGGGACTGTTAACCGCCTAAGCGTTAGTGGATCTGATGACACCCTTCCTTCAAGAGTTTTTTTTTTAAGTTCTTGGTATGTTTGCTTGTGTTGATAGCTTGCTTTCCTCTCTCTCAACTGCCTCCTAGGGTTCAAAATGATCAAGCCATAATATAGTACTGTATGAATCACAGAGCTTCGCGGGACACGGGCAGCTGTAGGAAGCGAACATGTATAAAGTTAGCCAACTTATTTTCCAAACGTTTCAGTCAGGTTTAAAAGGATGCTTCGCCCAAGACATTAGCTGCCTTGGATTGTGTTGGCAGGGCAGGGTACACATTTATAAAATGAATTATTGTGCTGCATCTTATGGATGGGAGGCAAACATCTTGCAAAGACCAGCTGACCACAGAGAAGAAAAATATCTAGAAGTTTGCTAATATTGAGTAACTAACTTCTCACTTCTGTCATAACGTCGTCCATACCCCCTTTCCACCCTCCTTACACCGGTGCTTCTCAACCTTGGCTGTTTTAAGATGCCTGGACCTCAACTCCCAGAATCCCCCGGTCAGCCTGAATTCTGGGAGTTGAGGTCCAGGCACTTTAAAACGGTCAAGGTTGAGAAACACGGCCTTAAAAAAATGCTTCAGAAGCTGTGCCAGCCTTGTTGCTGACTCTGGTGGCTGCCATTTTAAGCGGCCGCTCTACCCTTGTGAAGGATTTCAAGAATTTCCAGCTGCCGAAAAGTTAAGGCGAACGATTCTACTGACAGAAGGGAATTTTTGTAGCTCAGGGTTGAACTGTGGGGGTCTTTGGTGCTCTCCCAGCTTAGCTGTTTCCTTGCGGACGTTTCGCCACCCAACTAGGTAACCCCATCAGTGCAAGAAGGGATGAACCGTTCTGCGCGAAGCCCCAGCAGCAAAGTAGTCAAGAGCTTTGAGCTTTCCAGACATCTTTGCGTAAAAGGTCAAGCCTATTGTGTGAAGCAGCCCTTATGCGTCTTCCTCAGAGTTTGCTCTACCTGTTTCCCTTGGAATAATGCAACGTGTGCGCAAACGACAGGCGTCAAATCTAGCAGCAGCCCCTAAATTGTGCCTTTTTGCACCGTGTTTTCATTACAGTGGGGGCACGCCTCCTTGTTCTTTTGAAGTTCAGACTTTAGGTGCAAAGCATGCAGTCAATTATTTCGCCTGAATTCCTCTCGTGCTGCTTGACCATACAAGGTTAAGTTAATCCAGAACTGCAAATTCATTTCACTTGCAATAGCGCAGAAATTAAGGAAGTCCGCGGAGACCGCCGTATGAAACATTGGGTTACCTGTGTGAAATCATGCAAGTGGGCTCGCGGTTTTGAGTCTCTTAATCTACCTTTTTAGCTACATAGACAATGTGAAGAGAGAGAGAAAAAAAACCCAGTGACAATGTCCTTTGTTTATATGTTTTAACCTATTTACATACTGTGAAAACAAATTTTTATACTTTTGCTAACGTCGTGGTTTTAAATAGCAACTGAATTTTTTTTTTTTCCTAACCAGTTAAACTCTTCCATATAATTTCTATTGAGCTTGTAAATAAACTTAAGGGACATGGGGGGGGGGAAGCTTTGTAAATAAGTGGGTGGTTTTTTGTTTTTTTTTTAAAGCAACAGAGCACCTCACAATTGGTTCTGTATTCAAGAATGAATGCTTTTTAGTGACAGGAATTTAGAAATTTGTCCTAAGAAAAGGAG